GCGCGCATCTGTGTGTGCGCGCTCATCTGTGTGTGTGTGTGTGTGCCCTCATCTCTGTGTGTGTGTGTGCCCTCATCTCTGTGTGTGTGTGTGTGTGTGTGGGTGAGTGTGTGTGTGTGTGTACTTGTTTATGCCACATTGAGGGGACCAAATGTCCCAAAAAGGATAGTAAAACCGGAAATTTTTCCGCAGGTGATGGAGATTTACCGCTGATTACAGAACCGGCTTTACTGATAAGATGCGCGTTAAATATCGCATGCGATTTATCGTGCAGCCCTAGTTTAGGGGATAGAAAATATCGTTTGGTCAGTATAAAAGCAATAGAAGTCTATGGAAAGTCCCGACAATTCACAGAAACAAACAAGTGTGTGTGTGTGTGTGTGTGTGTTCGTGTGTGTAGTCCATCCTCCTGTAATGAGAGCAGACAGTTCAATTCTGATGTCAAAGCGCTCACTATAACGTCAGTGCGTGTGAAAGCCGTTCACACATGACGGTGGTGTGTGTTTGCTGCAGATAAACCTGTCCATATTCATACGGTTCAGAGGAACACAGGTAATCTCCCGCTATCTGACAGCTAGTTAAACACACCGGTCCAGTCTGCCTTCTTTAATACATCACACACACTTACAGAACAGCTACCTGCAGCCCGCTCCCACACACATACGAAAAATTAAGAATCCAATATAAAACCACCATGAACAAGATCCAAACCTAGAAACTTGTGGATTATTGTGATGTTTTTATCAGCTGTTTGGACTCTCGTTCTGACGGCACCCATTCACTGCAGAGCATCCATTGCTGAGACACTGATGCAATGCTACATTTCTCCAAATCTGATGTAGAAACAAACTCATCCTAATCTTGGATGAACTGAGGGTGAGAACATAAATAAATATATAAATAAAACATAAATAAAAATTGCCCTCTGAGATTCACCATAAAGAACACAACAAGATGTTTTGCATAAGAAAAGACTCAAGTGATTTCACATTTGTCTCCTCTAAAGCTTTAGAAACTCTCCAATCATTCATTTCATAGCACTAAACATATTTCAGTTCTTCATCCTTAAACCCATATCAACATAATCAAAAGTCTCCCGAGTGATTCCAGCCACAATAAAGAGCAAAACAAAGAGATTTCTCTCTCATTTGGCCTCTCTCATGTGTGGCAGCTGTGCATGATGGGATTCGAAATGCATCACAAGCGTAAAGTGGATATTAACCTTGACGTAATGAGTTTATCTCCAGCTGGTCCAAAATATTAATAAAAACTATAATAGTATCTCAATGCTACTAAAATAACACTGGGTTGAATACCTAATTTTGCTTTTAAAGAATTAAAAACATTTATATATTTAATTAATTATTTAGCTTTTTCCCCATTTTCGTTCTTCAAAACTGCCAAGTACAATATACAGTACAAATTGTCATGCTGTGTAACTGTCTGAATACAGCCTTTTGTTACAATGTAACTAGATTCTATTTTCAAATATTTAAAAGCATCCACACTGCTACATTTCAATTCAAAAATGGAACCTGCAGCAGATTCAAAAATGTAACAACACCAAGGTGCCACTCATTCCCAAACATTCTCTTTTTGTAATCCATTCAAAACGTCACAGGTTTGGAATGACATGAGGGTAAGTAAATAACAACAGAATTCACATTTCCAGGTTAACTAGTCCTGAAACAGGTAAACCCGCAGTGCATCACACAAAGAGACTCTGCTGTTCTTTGTTTCACTCACACGAGCTGCTGAATTTCTCCGTGTGGATCGATAGAGCCGGTTTTCCCTGCTTCTGTCATTCCCCTCTGTAAACACGTTTGTCCGCTGACCCTCACGGCCCGCAGGCGTCTGTCTCACCCAGGAACCCCCGGCCGCCCGCTCTATTCATCTCAGTAATTGTCTGTATGAATTATTTACCTGACTCGGAGGGTGAATATGAATCCATTACTCTCTGCTTCAATTATCAGAGCGGGCATTATGGGAAATGACAGGAGAAATGATTACAGGATTCATGAGCTGTAATATGCATGACCTCACAGAGTCGTGTACATTCATCTATCACTCCATATCTTTGCATTCATGGAGAATTTCTCTTGATCCAGCACCCGAGGCATTAAACGCAGAGGAAAGCAGAGCGGAGACACTTACCAGAAATATCCTCTCCAGCTGATCCTGAATGTCCTTCATGCCCGGGAACGCCGCCACTCCCTGGATCATTTCCACGAAGATGCATCCGACACCCCTGAAACACAGAAAAACACCACTGACTCTCTAACCTTCAGAAAGTGAAAATGCGATGCATGCCAGATTTGTGCATGAATATCAGAATCTTTTAATGCAAAGCTTTCTTTCAAAGCTTTTAATGCTCAGAGATTTATGAACATGGCGAACATTTCTGGAAATGCAGGAATGAGCTTGATTGTTGTGTTACTGTAACTGCATGTAAGCAGCATCAGTGCAATTAAACATTCAGAACAAGCGCTTATATCAGGGATTCCCAAACCTTTTTTCAGCCGAACCCCTTTGAGCTCAAATATTTCCTTGAGACAGGGTTAAACCATAAAAACATTACTTGAAATAAAATAAATGTTGACTGAAATCAAATATTAAAAAATGTAAACTTATTTTATTTCATCTAGTTTCCAGGGCTAAACTTCTAATTTTCATTTACTTTCATACCTGCAAGCAACACTGATCATGTTAACGCTTCACAATCATTAAAAACACTTATCATTAAAATGCAGTGAAATTTAGCATCAAATTCAGCAAAAGTATTCTGATTCATTCTGAACTGTCGTTGACGTTAGCTTATGTGCTAACAAGCTAACCAACAAGTTAGGAAAAGTTAGATGGGATAATGTTAGGAAAAATGTATCACGACAAGCTTACTTGACTTAACAACAGAGTAAACTTCATTTGGCATATTGACGTTATTGTAGTAATTAGGTAGCTAAGGTTTAGTAAGTTTAAAAGCGTTCAGACAGCAAACTTAGCTCAGCGTCGTTTTAGTACCGTGAAAAACGAGAGAAGATGATCTTGATTCTGATTGGTCAAAAGACTCGAGGCGCTTCACCAAATACTACTATATTTATTAGGGTGGGAAAAAAACATAAATAATAATAATTGGGGAAAAAAAACAAAAACTAACTATAGTAGTATCTCAATGATACTAAAGCAACACCGCTCTGGCATTTGTTAATATTTCATTAATTTATCAACACGTTTACAGTTCTCTGATATCAGTTAATGGCAGATAAACTAATCCAATATTCAAAAATATTTTAGTAAGTGGTTTATTCAGATTTGATTCTTTATTATTTGTTTTAATTTCACATTTTAAGATCTATTTATTAGCTTTTGATCAACTCCTGAATCCCCTGCAGTTCCCTTGTGAAGATCAGTTTGGGAAACCCTGGTTTAGAGGATGGTGTGGATCACGAATGACCTGATCTGAGCCCAAGTGAGACGAACCGGGTCTGACAGATACAACGGAGAGAGAGAGCAAAGAGAGAAAGAAAGAAATCAGTCAGTATGTGATCACACTGTCCTGCATCATATTTGCTGATTGTAAAAATAGAGTCTGTTCTGCTCTTTCTCCTCACACTTTCTCACAAAATATGATGCATTTTGTAGCATTTTTGCTTTTGACAAGTCTTGTATTCTCCTTTAATCAGCAGGAAAACACCACAAACACACAACTATCTGATCAATTCTCAGCCCATTTTCACATGCATGACATTATTTTATTTCTAATCCCGATTTCATTGTTACATTTATGGGCAGTTACAGAAGAAAATGTAACTGTTTTGTGAAAACACTATATGTGATGGAAAATTATTATTGATATATTTGAGCTCAACATCATCAAATTAGGTCATATTACGCAAAAAATATAATCAGCATTGTTTCTACTCGGTCAGTAGGAAGTCTGATTTTCAGAGAGACTGTTTTCCAATATTTGATTGAATTTTGAGTAAAAACTGAGCAAAATAAAATAAAGAGGCAAACTTAATGTGCATCTCACATGCTACTACAGTACATCATTACATTATGAAGTAGCACATGATAAAGTAGCATTATATCAGCCATCAGTCATCCTGCTCACTGAGAGACAAAAATTGTATAATGGGAAAAATCTTGATTATTTTTATTCAGATTTATTTTATTCTATTGTTGATGTAAAATAAAATAATACTCTAAAAAGGGTAAATTTTTTTAAATTGAGATTTGTACATCATCTGAAAGCTGAATAAATAATATTTCCATTGATGTATGGTTTGTTAGGATAGGACAATATTTGGCTGAGATACAACTATTAGAAAATCTGGAATCTGAGGGTGCAAAAAAATCTAAATATTGAGAAAATCATCTTTAAAGTTGTTCAAATGAAGTTCTTAGCAATGCATATTACTAATCAAAAATTAAGTTTTGATATATTTACAGTACGAAATTTACAAAATATCTTCATGGAACATGATCTTTACTTAATATCCTAATGATTTTTGGCATAAAAGAAAAATCTATAATTTTGACCCATACAATGTATTGTTGGCTATTGCTACAAATATACCCCAGCGACTTAACACTGCTTTTGTGCTCCAGGGTCACATATTAAGTTTTAGCTATTTTGTTGGGTGTTTTTGTCATTTTCAGTAGGTTTTGTTTTTTTATATAGTGTATGTCCATGGAGTTTTTATGCATCTTTATTTCAGTTTTTGTCTGAGAGTTACTTTAGTACATCAAGTATTGAAAAATGAAATGAAAAACAAAAATGTTGCATTGAAAAAATTTAAAATATATAAATTTTATGCTTTATTTTATTTGATTTAACATTTATTTTATTAGTTTCAGTTAACTATAACAACCCTGGTAGATATAATGCAATGCTGGTGTGTTTCATCATCTCCGTTCATCAGCATGCGATTGTTTCCTGACACTTTCTAGTCCAGAGCACACGGCTGTGTCCTTCTGACAGCAAACCAGCAAGAGCCACGCAAACACACACCAGCAGTGAAAAACACAACATAACCAGCCTCCCAGCATCAGTCCATCCGTCTCCATAACAGAGCATTTCAAATCAGAATGTAGCCGGGTGTCCATCCGAAGCTGCGAATTTAACTTATGCGCAAAACTGGAATATCGCATAAAACATTTGCAAACAAGCATCGTTTCCATCCAAAAAGTCAAAGAGAACAAAATCGTCACGTCCTGATAAACTGGCACTATAAATCACAAAGAAAAGTAGGAGAATATAATAATGTTCATATATAATAAATGACTTGCGCCTCAGAGCGAGCAGACGAAACGGAGGTGGATGCTGCTGTTTGGGAACGCAGTCGTGTAAGACATTTCTGGGAGGCAATTATACAGAAATACTTTAATGACAGACTTTGCTCGTGCATTTCCGAATGACCATATAACAACATTTCAGGTGCTGTAGAATGAGATCGGTCCGCTGGTTAGTCAGGTTTTGCCGTCCCATAGCGCAAAGTCACATGACTTTTTTGATGCGCTTGGAGGAATTTATTC